TAGGCAGACAAAAAGGAATACAATTAATTTTGGTGATGGCCTCCTCTAACAACAAGATATGGAAAATACAGTGAGATTGAAAGGTATGTTGTATTCGTGATCTAAATGAACGAGTGAATCAAAAATTAATATCAGTGATCAAAGTTACTGATCATTGCTAACATGTTAAGTTTCAGAATGATGGAGCTAAGGTATATAAAGAAAAGGGAGAAGTTCGAATGAAGGCAGTGTGAAGTGGAAACACATATTATGCGGTACCAAGAAACAGAAAGGAGGCAGCATATGTATCAGCGAAGAAAAATGTGTGGCATCGACATGCAAATTTGAGGATCCTTGAAGAAATGGAAAATGAACAAGTGGTCTTAGTTATGAAAGGTAATGTTAAATTGAATGTAGAGTGTAAATGTTACAATAAGGCAAGAATGTGAAGAAATATCTATAGGAACGTGGAAACTATAGAAGCAGCAATATAATGGTGCTGTGGTACATAATGGACTTCAGTGGGCTAATAAACCTAATGTCAAAAGGAGGTAAAAGGTACGTCCTAACTGCTGATGATTATTCGAGAAAAGAACCATTTGGTTGACTGATTTATAAATGATTAAATATTTAATATGAAATGTTATTGATGCAGGACTTTTTTTTATTATAGGAGACTTGCAAACATGAGTAATATTTATATGCAAAAGCCTGCCACTAAAGGTAAAGTAATAAGTATCATTTAATAATACTTGCATGGATTGTATATCTGTTTTTAAAAATTAAAGCTATATACAATATTTACTTTCTAAATTTCTATCTTAATATATTAAATAATTTCAAATTTGAATTACAATGGTGAATAAATTTTAATAAATTTTATTTTAAAGATATTTTACATTAATCAAACTAATGTATTTGTTATAACTAGGTTGTAATGAAAACAACTGTTGGTGATGTTGAGTTAGAACTATGGGCAAAAGAAACTCCAAAGGCATGTAGAAATTTCATACAATTATGCATGGAAGGTTATTTGAATGACACTACATTTCATGGAATTATCAAAGGATTCATAACACAAGGTGGTAATCTCACAGGTACAGGAGAAGGTGGTAAAATATATGGACAACCATTTAAAGTGAGACTATATTTAAAAATAAAATGAATTCCTTCTTTTTTCAAAAATAATTATTGGATATATGTGTTTTAGAACTTATTTCATGCAAGATTACGTTTTTGTCGACGAGATTTAATTGCTATGGCTAATGCTGGAGAAGATGACAATGGTTTCCAATTTTTCTTTACTCTTATTTCTACACCAGATTTGCAGCATAAACATACTATCTTTGGTAAAGTTAAAGAATATACCATATATAACATGCTCAAACATGAAGAAGCACTTGTAGATGAGGTAAATTTAATGTTTACAAGAATATATATCAAGGCCAGATATAAATATAATATTTTCTCTTTTTTGTGGAATGATAAATCACTTTATCCTCCAAGATTGGTAAAAACTATGATATTGAACAATCCATTTTCTGATATTATGCGAAGAATAATTGTACAGGAAAGTGAAGAAGTAAAGGACAGTTTACAAACTAAAACAGCAACAGTAAAGTAAAAATCATATATGTTTGTAGAATTTAGCCCTGATAGTATTATTCTATGCAATGATAAATTTTATTATAGAGATTTCAATATTTTATCATTTGGTGAAGAAGCAGAGGAAGCTAAAGAAGAATTTGTGATATTATATAAAAAGTTTAGAGCTACGGACAAATCAGCTCATAGTCATTTAATGGATCCAAAATTAAGTTCACAACCAGCTGTTGAACCACATGGACTTGCAAATAAGAAAAGGGAAGAAGACCGTAGTAGCAATTGGGAAAGTGACGATGAAGTAAAAACTCAAGAAGAATTAGAAATTATAAAGAGAGAGAAAAAGTTAGTTTACTGTTTACATTATAACTATGTTATAGAAAGTAGACATTTTTATTGTCTGTCTTATATCTATATTTTCAGAGCAGTGGAGGAAAGGATAAGAAATAAATTGAGAGATGCAGAAAAGGAACCTAAGAAAATAAAAAAATTATAAAGATGATGCTGAAGATGATAAAGATAAAAAAGAAAATAAATAGAGAATAAAAAACTTCTTATGAGGTTTAGCACGAGAGAAAGACGAAAAGATGCACGATAAGAGAGGTAGATGCAAGACAAACCAATATCTAGAATTATTAAGATAACTCATGTATTTAAATAGAATCATTTGCTGTAGTGTGTATATGTCTATAAATATTGTTATATATATGGTCATTATAATGACAATTATTACGTGTTACGTATTGCCAAACATCTTTTTCTCGCAACGGTCCGTAATACGGACATCTACTAAGGTTCTAATGTCTGTATGTCATTGTTTATTATGTCGTTAACAATTAACGTTTATATGTGAAACTTGCAAAGTGAATAAAAAGTACCTAAGCATATAACCATTGCAGTTTCGTTTTCTTTTTACCAAGAATAAAACAACGCATCTTTATTTGTCACATCATGTTCGTCTGGCTTTGAAGAGAGTAAAGAGAAGGCAGAAAAATGTATTATACTTATTTATGTCCTTTTATCGTTTTGTTTCTCCCGCCCTACAGGTCACGTGGTTTTTCATTCGCCAGTTTCGATCAGCGCCATCTATGATTTGGGCTCAAAAATCAAGAAAGTAATAGGAACATAGAATAGGCAAGGAGGTCGTCGATGCGCTGGTCACGTGGTAGACAAGGACAGTGTGGGGATAGAAAAGGACAGAATGGCTCCGGCAGTGAAAAATTATTAATTACTCAATTTCCGTAAACAATTTGTGAACTTTTATAATTTCATTGTAAAGCTGAAACTTCTGGCTACATTCTTATATAAGTTTCGTAAAGAATTTAACTCTAAATTGTTAGATATTAATTTTTGTTTTATGGCGTCTATGATTTCGTATCGGCGACCATCACGATCTTCCGTGGAAATATTTAATACTAAACGAAACTAGGAGTAATATGTGCTCAAAAGTCATATGAGAATATTCGCAAGAATATTGTCTTTCTAATGAGTGCACAAAGTTTCACAAATTAATTGCATAGAGAATAGTAATTAATGAAAAACCAATGGCGTCTTCGACAACAATTCAAATACGATGTAGAATAATAATTAATAACTAATTAATCAGGGATAAATTTATATCGAAAAATATATTGGAAAGTTCCTGAAGGATCTGCCTTTACGATGCAATTATAAAAGTTCATAAATTAATCGCAGATATCGAGAAATTAGTGAATTTTCCATTGCCGATTTGATTTATTAAAATATATTTCATCTATGATTCAAGACTCAGAGCTCGAGTTCCGTAACGAGAACATAGATGGCTCTGATGTTAGTTTACTAACTCTGGTTATGCGCTCCGAATATATTTTAATATATTTTAATAAATCAAATCAAACAGTTTTCTACATTCTTTATTAAATTTAGCCGGAGCAGCGGTTTTAATTAGACAATCAGCATTCATTTGATTACCTGGCAGACGACAAATATGCAAAGGTACGTATTTACAACGCAATTATAAAATTTCATAAATTAACCACAGAAATTGAGCGATTTATTAATTTTTCTCCAAATGAACAGAAGAGTACATGAAACATGAGAAAATATTGCAAACAAACGTCGGAAGCATTGTTGTGTCCATGCAGGTGTGCCTGCATCACGAAAAGAATGTAAGTATTTGTATTAACATAACCTTAACATAACATAACATAACTCAGTTGTAAACACATCATGCAAGATATAAAGCATTGCTTTCCCATTTTTCATTAGTGATAGCAGAGCCCGGTTGTGTGGAGACAATATTCTGTTGAAGTAAACAGGCACGTGCAACAATAGAAAAATATTCGACTCATGGAATATCATCAGCGTAGATGCCAAGAATTATACTTTATAGCAAGAAGAAATTGAAGCAGCAATACAAATATGTAAAGTATATTCTTTTTTCAAAAATAATTATTGGATATATGTGTTTTAGGGCGATTTTCCTAGAAACTACGTTTCTATGGTAACGATTTTTGAGGCTGCGAGATGTAAGTGGACGGAATTCTTAGCAATGACATCATTCAAATACAGTTATTGTTCATAAAAATGTATAAATAATCCAATTTCTTTTTAATAACAAATTGTTCACAACGTAAATTTTTAATACAAGAAGAGAATTAGTTCATTGGTTATTGCTTGAGCAATATCATACTAATGTTTAAATACACCTATAATTTGCAAAAGTGTAAAAATTATTACACTTATTTCTAATAACAAATTGGCCACAACGTAAATTTATAATACAAGTGGAAAAATCACTAGATTATAGGCTATTACTAGTATATACAACGTATTTGCGTGAAAATGTGTCTATAATTACCAAAAAGTTAATAAATTGCTACATTTATTGTTAATGACAAATATTTTGTAACGTATGTTAACGATAAAAGTAGAAAAAGTTAATAAATTGTTAGCTACTACTGCAACAAACAGCGTATTTGTATTAAAATGTATTCGTAACTTAGATTATAGGCTATTACTAGTATATACAACGTATTTGCGTGAAAATGTGTCTATAATTACCAAAAAGTTAATAAATTGCTACATTTATTGTTAATGACAAATATTTTGTAACGTATGTTAACGATAAAAGTAGAAAAAGTTAATAAATTGTTAGCTACTACTGCAACAAACAGCGTATTTGTATTAAAATGTATTCGTAACTTAGATTATAGGCTATTACTAGTATATACAACGTATTTGCGTGAAAATGTGTCTATAATTACCAAAAAGTTAATAAATTGCTACATTTATTGTTAATGACAAATATTTTGTAACGTATGTTAACGATAAAAGTAGAAAAAGTTAATAAATTGTTAGCTACTACTGCAACAAACAGCGTATTTGTATTAAAATGTATTCGTAACTTA